TGAGAGGATGTCCAGTTGTCTACAGATGGGCTTTGGGTCTCCACTCGTTTGCATCAATATGATTGTTTGTTTTGGGTCATCTGATGCCTGATACCGGATCCCATCGACCCCTCACGATCATACAAGCTGGTGTGCTTCTTCCGTGTGGGCTTTGTTGATTCCCTGCTAGATGGCCACTTGTTTATCTTCAAGTTTGTTGACGATTGAAATAAATGTACAAAGATATGCAAAACTGGCTTTTCTCGTGGCGTGGGTGTGGGGACAATGGATTTGTGTGAGTAAAGCCAATAATTCCACATTGCTGCTATTGGCAAAGCAGCCCAAAGGCCAGGAAAGGCTTGAATCGTCTGGCACAGAAGGGTGTGGCCCTCAGTCATGGTGGAGGTTGCTGTCATTGGCTGCTCCGATTGTTTGAAAACAGGGTTCTTCCGAGCCCTGGGGAAATGGATGCGGGATGAAACAAGCACTGGGGATATCAGGCATTCTGGAAGAGGGGAGGACTAGCCAACGGAGGAGCGGACACCGGCAGGGACCATTAGTTGCTCTCAATACTCCTTGTTTAGGAACTAGAGGAAAGTTGTATGTTTCATCGTTGCTACACTGCACCCTGACTGGCTCCTCCCATGACCCTTCAGTAAGGGGGTGTCCAGTTGCCTAAGATGGACTTTGGATCCCCAATCTACAATCACCCTCATTACAATGATAGGATTTTTTGTTCTTTGATGCCTGATACCTCATCCCTTTGACACCTTGTGATCACACAGGCTGGTGTGTTTCTTCCATGTGGGCTTTGTTGCTTCCCAGCTACATGGCTGCTTGTTTAACTTCAAGCCTTTAAGACCCCAGACACTATATCTTTTTTTTAATTTTTTTTTTTTTACGACTTTAACGTCGACACTATATCTTTTGATAGCCGGGCACCATCAGCTTTCTTCACTACATTTGCTTATTCACCCACTTTCTCTTCAGCAATCTTGTCGGGAAGGTGAGCATCATGGAATGCTAAATGTTACTTTATGTATTTGCTGCTCATTAGAATGTCTTCTTTTTTAATACATCATTAAATAAATCATTAATTATGGGCCAGAAACTCATTCCCTCGAGGTGTTTGGATGTCTAGGATGTTTCCATAATACT